GGGCGCTGCGCGGGGCGGGCCGCGGGCCCGGCGCTGTCCCGGGCGGGAGACTGCCGCCGGCTGCGCGCCGAGGCCTGCGCGCCCGTCCTCCGGCGTGCAGACAGGGCGACTGCCTACGGCCGCACCATGGCCCTGAAGGCCGAGGGCGCCGCGCTCGACTGCTTCGAGGTGACGCTCAAATGCGAGGAAGGGGAGGACGACGAGGAGGCCATGGTGGTGGCCGTAATACCGCGGCCGGAGCCGATGCTCAGAGGTGAAAATAGGAGGGGACCCCACTTACGCGTCACGGCCCGGGACATGGGCTGCCCCTGCCCACTAGTGGTCCTGGTCTCAGGCACCCCCTCACTCCCTCCAGTCCGGGTCCACTTCCTCCCCACCCCCCTATCTGCGTCCAGGGCGCGCGCTTGCTCCTCCCCCACCAGTGTTTGGAATCTCAGGCCTCCTCGAATTCCCCCGCCCAGGGTCTGGAGACTTCGATCCACGCCCGGCGCGCTCCGGATCTTCCGGTACCCGGGCGCCCCTTTTCCCCGGGCCTTGCACGGGAGGCCCCCCGGAGGCTCTGGGCTGCGGCCGCCGTCTTACCGCCCCAGCGAGGCAGAGGCAAGCTCAGGAGCCAGGCTGTATTTAGGCCGAGGGGCGGCAGGGCCTCTAGGCCCAAGGGTGGACAAGGCAGCTAGGTGTCCAGTGTGATTCGGAGGATGGAGCTGCTGCCAACCTCTAACAGAATTTTAAGGCCTCTCCAAGCATAAATCTTTTCTGCACCCTTCCCCCAGGCCTTCCACTTGTGTAAGCCACAGGTGTCAGATTCTAGAAAGGGGCGATGAATGGGACTGCGTGTAGCACGCAGTTTTGGAAAAGCAGTGCTGGGGGGGGGCGGCTCGGCCAACCTAGAAGATTAGCCTGGGGGGGTGTTGAGGAACAATCTGGGAACTCGCTCTGTGCTCTCCCCTCCCCCTTCCCAATCACCCATTTCTTTAGTCCTCAGAACTTGCAAACCGTAAGAAACAAAGAGCCCTCTTTGTGGAATACTTAATATTCATGAAAACGCAGTATCTTGACGTTCTCCAATACCTCTTTTCCCTATGCACAGAAGTACCTGAAGAGGTTGAGAGCAGGGCCATTCATTGACCCTCAGTGGAACAGAGGGTTATAAGATTAATGAGGGAAATAAAGGTCACCTCCCTTTTCAGAGCATTGTGTCCAGCAGACAGGTTACTTTCTGACTAATGCTAATATTTATCCACTGCTGGCTGGGGATTGTCAGAGGCTGTCTCAATCAATGTTCTCAACAACTCTGCAAGGGCAGCCTTACTCCCACTGTTAGGGGGGAAATAGAAGCCCAGGGAAGTTATTTCATTCAGCTAATGTTTACTGAGCACCTACTGTACGCCAGGCAGTGTTTTAGGTTAGGGATGGTAATTCGGTAAACAAAGCAACCAAACCCTGCCCTTGAGGACATCTGTATACCAATGGCTGAAAACAGATAAATCGATAAATGTATGGTATGTCAGGTGGCAATAGATGGTCCAGGACAAGGAGGGGGGGCTGAGTATTTTCTTTGTATATTAAAGAGTTAAGAAAGACTTCTCTACAAGGTGAATTTTGAGCACAGACCTGAAGAAAGGGAGGGAGCCAGTCTAATAAGTAGTAGCTAGAGAAAAAACACTGCAGGCAGTGGGAACATCAAGTGCAAAGGTCCTGAGGTACCTGCTTATGGAAAGATTTGGAGTGAGAAAAAGACTGAATGTAATGCTTTTGGCCTGAACAACTGTAGAATGGCCTTGCTATTTACTGAGATGGGGACTTGCTATTTACTGCACTGGGGTGCAGGCTTATGCGAGATGTGGGAGTTACGGTTTGAACATGGTAAGTTTGAAATGCCTATTACACATTCAAGTAGAGGACTTGGCTAGGCAGTCAGATACCTAACTAGATTTCCTGGGGGAATCCAGCTAGAGGTACAAATAGGGCGGTTGTCAGCAGACAGGCAGCGGGATGAGGCTCATCAGAGGAAGGAAGTAGACAAAGAAGTGACCCAAGGATTGAGTCCTAGAATATTCCATTGATTACAGGTTGCAGATAGAGTCAGTCCCTCAACTGACATTACTAAATGTTAGGCACTATTCTCTGTCTGGAAGATAAAAATGCAGAACACCAAAAATCTGCTGTCAAGGCCAGGTGCAGTGGCTCACACTTGTAATCCTAGCACTCTGGAAAGGTGAGGCAGGAGGATCCCTTGAACTCAGGAGTTGGACACCAGCCTGAACAAGAATAAAAAATTAGCTGGGCATCATGGGAGGCACCTGTAGTCCCAGCTACTCCAGAGGCTGAGGCAGGAGAATCTTTTTTTTTTTTTTTTTTTTTGAGACAGAGCCTCAAGCTGTCCTTCTGGGTAGAGTGTCGTGGCATCACAGCTCACAGCAACATCCAACTCCTGGGTTCAAGTGAGTCTCCTGCCTCTGCCTCCCAAGTAACTGGGACTACAGGCACTCGCCACAGTGCCTGGCTATTTTTTTGGTTGCAGCCGTCGTTGTCGTTTGGCGGGCCCAGGCTGGATTCGAACCCACCACCTTAGGTGTATGTGGCTGGCACCTTAGCCACTTGAGCCATAGGCACCAAGCCAGGAGAATCTCTTGAACTCAGAAGTTTGAGGCTTGGTGCCCATAGCACAGTAATTATAGCTTCAGCCACAAACACTGAGGGTGGTGGGTTCGAATCTGGCCTGGGCCAGCTAAACAACTGCAATAGCTGTAGTGACAGCTATTCAGGAAGCTGAGATGGGAGAATTGCTAAAGCCCCAGAGTTTAAGGGTGCAGTGAGCTATCAAGACATCATTGTGCTCTAGCCTGGGTATCAGAACAAGATCCTATCTCTTAAAAAAAAGCTGGGTGTTGTGGCTGGCATCTATAGTCCCAGCTGCTTGGGAAGCTGAGGCAAGAGAATCACTTAAGCCCAAGAGTTGGGGGTTGCTGTGAGCTGTGATGCCCCAGCACTCTACCAAGGGCAACATAGTGAGACTCTGTCTCAAAAAAAAAAAAGAAGAAGAAGAAAAGGGAGTTTGAGATTGCTGTGAGCCCAGCTAACGCTACAACACTCTAGCCTGGGCAATAGAGTGAGACTATCAAAAAAAAAAAAAAATTTTTTTTTTAAGCCAGCTTGGTGGCTCATGCCTGTAATCCCAGCACTCTGGGAGGCTGAAGCAGGTGGATTGCCTGAGTTCACAGGTTCCAGATCAGCCTAAGCAAGTGCGAGACCCCCATCTCTAAAAAAATAGCCTGGCATTGTGGTGGGTGCCTGTAGTCTCAGCTACTTGGGAGGCTGAGACAAAAGAATCACTTGAGCCCAAGAGTTTGAGATTGCTGTGAACTATGATGCTGCAGTACTCTACTGAGGGCAATAAAGAGACTGTCTCAAAAAAAATTTTTTTTAATTTGCTATCAAGGCCAGGCACAATGGCATATGCCCGTAATCCTGGCATTTTGGGCAGCTTTGGTGGGAGGAGTGCTTTGAGGCCAGGAGTTCAAGACCAGCCTCAGCAACATAGCAAGACCATGTCTCTGCAAAAAAAATTTTTTTAATTAGCCAGACATGTCAGCATAACCTGTAGTGACAGCTATTCAGGAAGCTGAGGTGGGAGTATTACTAAAGCCCCAGAGTTTAAGGGTGCAGTGAGCTATCATGACATCATTGTGCTCTAGCCTGGGTATCAGAACAAGATCTTATCTCTTAAAAAAAAACTCTGTGCTATCATGGAGCCTGCAGTGTGTCAGGGAGCCAGAGTGGATAAGTAAAAGACAAGTGATGTCAAGTGGTGGTGCATGCAGCAGAGGAAACGAGGGGACCCGGTGCTCAGGTTGGGGGATGCATTGTTTGGCAATGACCTGGTGGAAATGAGGGAGTAATAGAGAAAGTGAGAAGGAGAAGCAAAAGTGGGAGGTGGTGCCCTGGATGTGAGGGATGAAAAATCAAGATGGGGCCCTGGCTGACCCAAGAGAGGGGAAGCTGGATGGCAGATGAGATCACCAAAGCTCAGGTCACCCAGCCTGGTGGCAACACATCTTCAGGAAGATCATTGCAAGGAAATCCCAGCCAAAATCTTTTTTTTTTTTTTTTTGAGACGGAGTCTCACT